TATATATATATATTGGCCTAAATATGAAATAGCAAAATTATGTTTACCGGATCAGAGCACCAGGCACACTTTGGATGAGTACGTACACACTCCTCACAAGTCTGAGCTCCATTGCACACCATTCTAATGTCCACTAAATAAAAATATAATTGCAATTACGCCTAATATAATAGACATATGCATATTCTATTGAGTTGCCTGAACAGAGATGGCGCCTGAATTTGAAAAGGCGATGGAGCAAGGGCTGACATTTTTTTAGTGTCAAATTTGAATAAATGTAGACAAGACAACTATGAAGAAAAATATTTGAGATGCAAGCACTGAGAAATAGTTTTCAGGCAAGAAAAAAATTAATACGAGTTAAGCACATTTAATTTCGTCACATCTCTCTCTTAGTGAAGTGTTATCACAAAAAAAATGAAATAAAAATAACCTGACATAGGCCTATATTATCACGTGACTCTGCCTGTACGCTTTCATGCTTAGAAAAATGATACACTTACAAATGATTAGACTAATTTATGGTCATGAGAAACTTTCAGATCGAAACCAAATCCTTTTAATTTTCGTCTGCATTGCTTCTACTTCTCGTTTCCGTGCATGCATACGTACTCATACAAACCAATTAGTTTTACAATGCATCTTTATAACCACAGGAAATACACGAAAACAAATTCTTCAGAGGTAACCCTTACTGTGTATTTCATTGTGTAAATCACTGAAATCCTGAATATCATATTTTAAAATCAGTTTTCTACTTGTTACAAATACAAGCAAATGTCATACATTTACCATTATGCATGACAAATATACAATATACAGCGAAAATTATAAAATAATTTGTATAAAAACAGTCCGTACTTATATAGTAATTTAATATAGAACTTATGCGCTAATGCATCTAATAAAACATACAGTATAGAAGCCAAGCATTATTGCCAAATGATGATGTGTTGACGCATCGAAACATGTCTTTTTTGAATAGTGCATCTTTTAATACTATAGTGTGTAGTATGTAGCATGTGACCTAACAAAGAAATTATATAAGGGTCTATAAACTATGAAAATAATCACCGAGTAGTCTGATCTTAGTGAATTTCGAGAAAGATTGCAGACCATCTTGTCACAATCAATTAAGGATAAGTAGGATCACTCGCTTTAACCATAGCATCTATAGGCCTATTTTAAATAAGCTTAAAGATGGCAGACTTAGTATTTTTTGTATTATTATTATACTATTTGTTTATGTTACTGTGTTATACTTGGCAGAAAAAAAAATTAGACGCCTATCAAATATGATTTTTGTTGATCCCATCACCGACAATGGTTTACCTTATTATGTCTTTGTAATTGTTTGACCGTTTTATGAAATTTACAAAATAAATAAAATAAAATTTAAAAAATACTAAAACAAGAACAAATTGACAAGGAATCTTATTCTTGTGAGTACAATTTGCAAATCAAACGAGCAAGATGGTATTAACTTTTGGTGTACCGTTCTCTTTAGAAATGAACAATTTTTTGACATCGGGTCTAAGTTACGTTAACTTCTTTGTTGTAAGCCTGTGGTTTCATCAACTGCATAACCACAAAGTGATTAATAATATCAATATAATAATACACGTAACAGGGCTGGAGGAACGCTGTCCAAAGTGGGGTGGGGGGCATTAGCATTTCTTTCCGATCATACAAAATCTGCATAATCATTAGGCCTATATATTTTTTGCCAAAAAGTGGGAGTGGGGGCGGCCACCGGTTCCTCCGGCCGTGAACAAAACTATATCCAAAAATATTGTTAAGGTTGTAATTACACGACGAGATCAGTAAACTATATTTAGGACTTACCCACAGAATCTGTAGAGACGTTAGGAATTATATAGACGTTGATGATAATCCCAATGAAAATAAACTTCTGCATTGCTCTTGACGGCCTATCAAAAGCATAATGAGTATATTAATATGCCTTATTAAGACTCGCATATAATAGTTATAGTATCATCAGTGAAATTGATAGTATCGTTATTGTCCTTATTTTATGTATTGCATGGGCACATCCTCAGGTGACAAATTATAATTTTATATCTATCTTAAACGGCCCTTACCGATTTCATAATTATATTTTTATTAAATATCCAAAGATTTGAATATAAAACATAATCATTATGTTCAATACTTAAACTCATGCCATGGTAAGTACTGTTATTTTCTAATATACATACACATTGCAGGTGTGCAATCGTCTCAGTGAAAATGGTAGTTGACTACCGAAACGTCTGGTTTGGGGACGTAAACACTATAGTGTTAAATATATTATGTATAATATTACATTATATTTGATTTTATTTATTTGTTTTGTTATGATGTGTAGCGCTTAGAAGATTTTTCTTGCATTTTGCACTT